GCATCGAGGGGGGGGGGGGGGGCAGTCCACCACTTCCTCCAAGGCTTTGAAACCCATGTCAGCATCAGCATCGGTTTTGATCAGTCAGCTCCCTCAGGAAAAGAAAAAAAAGAATTGCAGCTTTACTGCCTGGGAATTTAGGCATACATAACGAGTGGCACAGCTAATCTTTTAGCTTCGTCGTGGTTAGGAGAGGCTGTAAATGCGAGCTCCTGGCTAGGCGTCCCAGGCTGGTGCTGGGAGCATGTCCCATCCCCCTGGCCAACCTGGATGAAGAAGCCTCCTGCCAGGGCTCTGCCCACCATGAACTCTCCGAACCCCTTTTTTTTCCCCTGCCTGGGTCTGTCCCCCACAACAGCACTGAGCAGCGAACGTCACTGAGCGACTTGGCAAGGTCAGCAAGCTGTAAACAGCAGAGTCTGGGAGCCGGCTCACTCCCCGGGCCTCCTGTTCGCCAGAAAACGCATTGAGCTTTGAAGGAACCCCAGGCAGTGCTCAGCTCGTTGAAAACAACCTGAGGAAACCAACAGCGACTTAAATGAATGCTGGAAGAGCCGTCAGGAGGGCTTCACGAGATGCTAATGTGGTGCAGCTGTGCAAAAAGGACTTTACAGGGTGGGGGGGATAATGGATTTGTGTGTTTAAGTTGCCTTAAGTTCTGGGTGGAGCGGGATGGATCGTGCTGCCACTTACAGACCGGCAGCAAGGGCGGGAGCAAGTGGAATAAGTGGTGTCCATTTTCTCTGTTTGTTACAAGCGCGTGGCATTTCCCAAGGACGACTCAGCGCCGATGGCTCCAAGGTGTTCAACAGAGGACAACGGGTAGCACCACTCAAGAAGGCAGAGGATATGAAGGGCAAGCTAATGCTCACATTACGATGGGAGCCACGCCATGGCCCAGGCTGAGAATGTGGCGAAACTGTGTCTTCCTCAAACAGCTGGGAAAATGGCAGAGCCGTTATGGATGTTGATCTTGCAGTGTCCAAAACTGCCTTTCCAAATGCAAGCGGCAGGCAGCATCCTGGCTGCCATCCTTGCTGCAGAAGTAGCTGTTAACCCTAGTATCCTCATCAGATACTAATCGGATGAATTATATTCCACTAGTCTAAAGCGCTCTCCCAGTTTCAGCTGGGTGTGAGTATTTCTGCTTTCCCTGCTGTAGAGTTTTCACAGCATCACAGAACGGTGGAGGTAGGAAGGGACCTCTGGAGATCATCCAGTCCAACCTCCCTGCTCAAGCAGGGTCACCTAGAGCATATTGCCCAGGATCACATCCAGACGG